TGAGAGGAATTATTTTTCTTCCCTCTAAAACAAGAGGAAAAATATATCACTTTTCTTCTTAAAAGAGAAGAAATATTTTTCTTTCTAATTACTTTCAACTGGTGATAACTCAGTTGAACATGGCAGAAAAACAAATATTTTCCTCTAACAATGTAAAACAGTCACACCCGAAGTTTTAAACCCATATATTTTCTTGTTTGGAAACTATTTTTAGGTAAATTTACAGCTACATACCTAAAAGTGGAATTTAGTATTTACCTGAAAACTGTTGTTGTTCCCTGGGGGTATAGAATAAAGCTGTCCATCGTGAACATGATGCATGTAAAATTATTTATCAGCTACAGAAAAATAATTTACTTAAAATCTGTTGTTGTTCCGTTGGAGCAAAGAGTAAAACTGTACATCGTAAACATGATGCATATATATAGAACTATTTTTCAGTTACAGAAAAATAATTTATCTAATTATTGTTGTTGATCCGTGGGGTAAAGAGTAAAACTGATTGCATATACACTTTCTGAAATATGGCATAATCTTGCAAAAAAGTTGCTTGGGACTCATTACACCACCAACCGGACACATCTACTTTAGCTTACCACGATTCAAGGCATGGACAAGCTCTTTCTTATGCGATATCACGTTTTGGAGACCAGGCCTACGACGAGAGTCTTAAGATGTGGTTCGGGATCCGTTAGTGTTCAATCGAAAAAATCAGCAATTTTATGTTTCGCTAATCTCTAAAAAAGATGCATTAAACAATGTTTTTTTTTGGGTGTGAATAAAACTAAAAAAATAAAAAGAAAGCTGTCCATTGTGAACATGATGCACTTAAACAATTTATCGTTAATCTTTGTGACTCGTCTATGAAATAGTTTGTCTTGTTTCCAGTTGTTGCGGAAAATTAATTAAATTTGATTGTCATGTAAGATAATATTATCATTTATGATATGATAACAACTTAAATAAATAAGGGTCAATTAGCCAAATACAACAAAGTTTTGAATTATAATTAGTGTAATAACCATATAATAAATATAATTGGAAAACTAACAACTGACATTGAACACAAAACTTACATTTATATATTACATAACATAGAATATAATGCAGACAATTTTAAAGTTGTGTACTAAACCTTAAATTTAAAATAGTTAATCCAAATCCAAAACTTAAAATTATAAACCCTTGAAAATAATATATTCTAAACAAATAATATGAAAAAGAGAAAAAAAATAACACAAAATAAAAAAATAGAGAAAATAAGAGTTTGAAGTTGTATATTG